GTAACTGGCAGAGTCGAGACTGCAAGCCAGGCTGTGACACCAGAACCTGCACTGTTGCTGACTCAGCCTGTCATTGGCTTCAGAGGGGAGTGGAGTGTTTCCTACTGCGAAGAAAATAAAAAGGGCAGTGGTATCAGACTGGAACTTCAGCAAGGGTCTCTAAACTGTTATATTTAGGATTAGAGGCCCAGTGCACAACATCCGTGCACTGGTGGGGGATCCCTCAGCCTGGTCTGCGCCCTCTCGCAGTCTGGGACCCCTTAGCACTGCTGAGGAGGCGGGAGAGGCTCCCACCACCTCTGCTGTGCTCACCAGCCATGAGCCTCACCCTGTAGGAGCGCACTGACTACCAGGGGGGCAGCTCTGCATTGAGCATCTGCCCGCTGGTGGTCAGTGCATGTCATAGCAACCAGTCGTTCTGCTGTTCAGTCAATTTGCATATTAGGGTTTTATTATATAGGATAGTTTTTAATGAAGACTCACTCATGAAACTTAGAACTGGGAGGACCTTGGGAAGTTATTTTAGTCCAGATCCTTCACTTCCTAAATGAGGGGCTGAAAGCTTGGGCTCTGTGATTTGCTGAGTCTCGCACATCTAGGTATTGCCAGTCTCGGGGCCAGGATCCCGGGCTTCTGATCCCAGTCCTATGCTCTTTCAAGTCAGCCATGAGGCTTTCATTTACAAACATCTCACATATTATGGCATAAAATGAAGTGCACATGACGTGATCCAGAAAAGCTGAAATAAATTCAGCTCTTGCCTTTTAAGTTTGCATTTCATTACTATAAACCTTTTAATGTATACATTGAAGTACTAGAAAAAACCCTAATAGAACTTTTTAAAAAACCTTCCTGCTTCCTGGATTTAAACTGATATTATTTGTACCAAAAGGAGCACATGGGCCGGTGAGGCTTAGCCACCTTGGGAGCACTGCTCTGTTGCTGCCTCACTCAGCACACAAGTGCACTACCTTGTTGTAGGATAGGAGGATCGCTGTTTCACACCAAGTGTTTTCTTATACGTGGGAAGGGATGCTGACATTAACTCCACAGCTTTCTTTGGAATGCTCTCAACTTTTTGTGTTGGCTGTTAGGCACTAAAGGTACTTAATAAGTTCAGTGTTGAAGGTTACAAGAAGTTGGTGCTTTTATATTGGATGGTTTGTGTGTGTGTGTGTGTGTGTGTGTGTGTGTGTGTGTGTGTGTGTGTGTGTTTAAGATTAAGACTCTGAATTTCCTGTATGCTTCAGGTAGTGAATGGCTCATCTGAATGTGAATGCTTGGGAAGGGGCCAGCTGCTGTTGCCGATTCTTCTCAGCCTGGGAACAGTGTCTAAGTACAAGTTTCCTAGTAAACGTTGCCCCTTTGAGTAATCAGCTTGAGAACACCTCCCATACAGAGATTTGGTATAAAACCTCCACACTGTGAAAAGCAGTCTTTTTAAAGAATAGTTTAAACCTCAACATTAGAGACAGTGTTGAAAACTGAAGCCAGATAAAATATATACATTAACATTTTTAATAACTTTCTTTGGTGAAAGTATGTATATGCAAATGAGATTTCTACCTAATCCGTACTAGTTTAAGAAAATCTGATTTTAAACAAATTTAAAAGTGAAGATTCTTCCATCTGAAAGTGGTAATTTCTCAGCACCACCTAGTGGTAATTTTTAACTAAACCAGAATATTTGCTGAGTGTGAGATTTATATTAGTATTACAGTGTTCAGTGGAGAAGTAAAGAGTATAACTGGAAACAGTCCTAATACCTTTATTGCCACAGAAGAAAATGGACACTTTTGTTTAGTAAATTGTTTAGTTCATTTTACCAATAAACCTATGTTTTGTGGGAATCTACTAGTAAATACCTTTATTTTAGGGACATCATAGTAGAGAAAAATATTTTTTATATATAGTAGATATTCCATAACTAGTATTAAATGAATGACTGGATAAACAAAGGAGATAATGTGAAAAAACAGTCATGTCAAGATCACTGAGCATAGTTTTATTATTCCCTTTCCAAACTGATATGAAATTACTAATGTAGTAATTTTAAAAAGTAATAATTTGCCATCAGAAAGAATGCCATCCACCGACCAGGAACTTACCGCCCTATGAAAGCAAACAGATAGGATCGGATTGATGGAGAAACAAAGAATGAGAAGACCATAGCCCCCAGAAATCACGGAGGATGCAGCAGAGCTAGGAGCTGTTGTGGAGAAAAGGAGACCCTCAAAGCCAGGGTTGCGAACAATAAAAATACATCCTGCATATCAGATATTTACATTATGATTCATAACAGTAGCAAAATTACAGTTATGAAGTAGCAACAAAAATAATTTTATGGTTGGGGGTCACCACAACATGAGGAACTGTGTTAAAGGGTCGCGGCATTAGGAAGGTTGAGAACCACTGGCTTAGACCAAAGCGGCAAGTGCAGATGCTGATGGCACCCTCCTGGCATCAGCCCCATGATCTTCCTAAGGGTGGCTTTTGTTGTGAGGACCTGTGATCAGCAGTGACAAATAGCAAATCTTAAAAGTCCAAGATGAGCCCAGATCAGGAAATGCCAGACATTTGAGGGAAACCAACACTACGAAAGAGGCATTAGATTCAATGAACAGAATCAACACCCAATGAACAAATGAAAATATTAAAATATGTGCAATTACCCTGGCTGGAGTGGCTCAGTTGGTTGAACCAAAAGGTTGCCTGTTCGATTCACAGTCAGGGCATGTACCTGGGTTGTGTGTTTGATCCCTGGTCAGGGCATATACAAAGGGCAACCAATAGATGTTTCTCTCTCACATTGATATTTCTCTCTCTCTCTCTCTCTCTCTCTCTCCCATCCTCTCTATAAGCATGTACTCAGGTGAGGATAAAAAATAACTAAATGAATAAATAAATGGTTAAAAATAATAAAATATGTGCAACTAGTGATTTATTCAATTTATATATTTGGTTAATATTGAGCACTTATATATAACAAAACCAAAGGTAAAGCTAAGAAAGGAAAATTGGACAGATGAAATTAGGAAAACACTAATAGAATGTATACTTATCTAAATTTTTGGTACATAATCTATATAATAAAAGCTTAAACGACCATTATGGCAGAACGACCAGAACGACCAGTCGCTATGAAGCGCACTGACCACCAAGGGGCAGACGCTCAATGCAGAGCTGCCCCCTGGTGGTCAGTGCACTCCCACAGAGGGAGGGCTGCTCAGCCAGAAGCCAGGCTCTCCCGCTTCCGTGGCAGTGCTAAGGAGCAGCAAGCAGAGCGGTAAGGAGTAGTGAGCAGGCGGGTGTAAGAAGTGAGGGGTCCCGGACTGCAAGAGGGCACAGGCCAGGCTGAGGGGATACCCCCACACACACTAGTACATGAATTTCGTGTACCGGGCCTCTAATATGAAAATAAAAGCTTGTGTGTAAAATTCTAGATGATCTCAACATTACATAGGTGGGGGAGTAGAAGTGGAAATATATTAAAGGATAATAAATATTCATTAGCTTAGTATTTTATACAAGAATATAAGTTTAACATCTGTTAAAACTTTGGCAGAATGCTAATGTAAGTAATACAATATATAACACATTACTTGAGGCCCTGGCTGGGTAGCTCAATTGGTTAGAGTGTCATGCTGATAGGCCAAAGTTGTAGGTTCAATCCCAGGTTAGGGCACATACAAGAATGAACCAATGGATGTATGAATGGGTGGAACCAACAAATCTATGTTTTTCTCTCTTTGTCTATCTCAAATCAATAATTTTTAAAAATAACACATTACTTGAAATAATTTGTGTTAAAAGACATTTTATAAGTGTCTCCTACTTAAATTTTACTGTCACATTTTCAACATTTCTCCCATTGAATTATTTTTATGGTTTTCTTTGTAGATGAGTTCAGGTATATTTTGTAATGTAGTTATAAAAAGGGAAGAGGAAAAATCAAGTACTGTGAAAGGAATTGTAGTGATACAATAATACATTTTTATTGTTTATGGAAAATACTCATAAGGTCTGTATGGCTTGATTTTATTTTCTTCAAATTCTTTTGCAGCTTTACCATACCTACCTGTTTAATTCTGTTGATTTTTTTTATTTCCTGTTACTAGAAAGGAACAAATGAAGAGGTTAATATTTCATTTGTTCCACATGATACGAGTTTCCTTTTAACTGGAATCTTTTCCCCATGTAATAATGAGTTGAGAAGCTCATAAAATATTATGGTTTTGAAACTTTCAGCATACAAGTTTTAATTATAGTGACTTGTTTAGCATCAACCGTGGGTCGTAAAGTCTTTCGAGGCTGTGCAAATAGCTTCATATCCCTGATAATCTCTAAAGATCTAGACTTTAATAGGAATGTATCCTGTCTGTCTATGAAATATGAATACATAATGCCTATTTTACATTGAAGATTGCTCGGAGTCTAGTATGCTTTTCCTCTGTGGATAAGATACGAATATCATGTTGGAATTTAATATTCACATTTCCATATGGTTAAAATGTCATTTGTTCTTTGTATTTTGGTTGTGGCTTTGAAGGAAAAGTGGGGAAACCAGAGAAAAGTAAATGCCTCAAAACAACCCTAAAAATTCATTAATTGGTATTTCCTGAAGAAATAGAAACGGCCAATACATATGTGCGTGAAAAAATGTTTATACTCACAACTCATGAAAGGAAATGGAGACTTGAATAATGGTTTATTACTTGTGTTTCTTATTCTGCTATACGTGGATGATAGTCAGTTTAGCCTATGGAAGTGCTGTGTACTACAGAAGACCAGTTTATGGGTTTTATACTGGGGTTCTGATTTCAGTCCCACCAGGGACTTTGTGACTTCGCGGCTCAGTTTCCTCATCATATAAAATGAATGGATTAGATGAGACAATCTCTAATGTCTTTCTCAACTCAAAAAGCCTTTCAGACTTAAGCAATTTCTAACTCTTAAGATTTATAATAAAGTTTCTGATAATTTTATGTTTTCTCTTTCAGTTTATATCTGTTCAAACTAGGAATAGCACCCCAGATCCAGGACTTGTTGGGCAAAGTGGACTTCACAGGTACTACTGTGTATCTTCATTATTTTTTACAATGTCTAAGAAAATGGACCGTACCTTTTTTTCCATTGTGATAGTATTGACTTCCTTTATTCCTCTATGTGGGGCAAGGAAAGAAGCATTATTTTGTACTCAACCAGTTCCTTTCCCCCATGTTTGGCAAATGAGAAGCTAAGGCTGGCTTCATCCTAAGGTTCTTATTTAGAAATGGCCCCACCTTCTTGATAAAGACATTTCTTTCTTTTTTTAATAATGACATGCACTTTCATATTTTCTTTAATCAGAAGAATAAGCTCCACGTATCTGGGAAGGGGTCCGTAGGATGAAAGCATTTCTTGATATGAATATACTCCTTCCTGCCTCCATCTCTGTGACTCTCTAATTTGTTGTTCTTCTTTTTCAGAGGAGGAAATCAGTAATATGAGAAAGGAACTCGAGAAATATGGAATACAGATGCCATCTTTCAGCAAAATAGGGGGTATTCTGGCTAATGAACTGTCTGTGGATGAAGCTGCATGTAAGACTTTAAAATCTGGGCCTGCCATTCACATCAGACTGACCTATACTTTGTTGGTTTTGGTTACAAGAAACAGAATTTTTAGACGATACTTTAAACCTCTCTGAAAGCTTTTATTATATGTATTGTAGATGGTAAATTTGAGCATATCAGAATATAGATAATTGATTTGGGACTTTAAACAGCCGCTTGTGCAATGTGGATTAAGGGGTTCTGGAGATATCTTCCTTCTTCAAAATATTTCTTTACTCTCTCTGTCCTTAGATTTTAGTGGCAGGGCACATTGCTGCATTGTCCTTTAGTGTTGCAAGTTAAGTTGCAGGCATCTCTTGGAATCAACCTGCTACTTTAAAAGTGTCCATGTGACCCTTCGAACCCCCACATGGTTGTCATAGCACTTGGTTCACTTGAGTCACTCAGTGCAGGTTGAATGAATGAATGGGGATTATGTAACAGAGGCTGAGGCAGGACCGGAGACAGATGGGCAGGTGGAGAGCCTTGCAGAGGGGTGCTCTGTGATGCGTCTGAGGCCTCGTTGTTGGTATGTTTACTGGGAGCCAACGAAGAAAGTAAACCAACTTTAGTGTTTGCAGTGTCAGTGCAACTGTCCATGTTATCTTTTGCTGGTAAAAATCTTTTTTTTTTCTCTCTCTTTTCAGTGCATGCTGCTGTTATCGCTATAAATGAAGCTATTGAAAAAGGAATAGCAGAGCAGACCATTATAACACTAAGAAACCCAAATGCAGTTTTAACTTTAGTGGATGAGAACCTTGCACAAGAATATCAGAAGGAACTCTGGGCAGCCAAAAAGGGAAAAGAAGAAAATGCAAAACTGAAGGTATTTAATTAGGTTCTCAGTAATAAATATGGTTATGAGTAGCTAGTTTGAAAAAGGGGGATATTTTTAATTCAACTGGCTGTGGTCTCTGTAGCCACAGGCAACTGGTTTGGGAGAAGGGTAAGGGCAAAAAAAGATCTTGCACTATGGAGAGAAATTGGGTTTCCTTTTGTGATGAATATTGTAAGTTGCAAGGTTTTTAAGGTTATGCCATAAACTTCCTACCTCTCTCAAAAGTGTGAAAGTAGCAGCTAAAGCTCTTTCCTCGTTAGCACCACCTGCAGACCTTGTGTTGGCTGAGTTACCTGTAGGTTTATTAGTATGAGTAGAGTTTAATAATTCAGTGTGGTGACGTTTAGAGAGGATGTTTTGAGTCCACTCTCTTTCTATTTTCCCAATATCCACCCTCATACTGGAGGAAGATGTTTTCTTCCTTAGCAAGGCAGCCTGCTCCTGTTCCGAACTCCGCACCCCACTTCCTGCCTGGCTTGTGTTACTGAAGACTTTGTCTGCACTCAGCTTCCACTTGCTCCCAACTCTCCTCTCCTTCGGCTCTTGCCATGTCAGCTTCAGCTCCATTACCAAAAATGTGGCTGTGGTTCCCTGCATCAATGAGTGTCTCTTCCTCCTCCCGCTAAGTGTGGGGATTGACATTGACACTGAGTCACTCCTGTCTCTGTTCTTCCTCAAGTAAGCTCATCCACTTGTTGAAGAAATCGCCCTCAGCTTCATAACAGGCCCTCTAATGCCCCTCCGGATAATTTCATCTCGGTCCCACCGGCCTTGCCGTTCACCATATCAGAAGGGCATTCATCTCTACCCTGCCCTTCTCCATATGTGCCCTTGCTGACTTCCCTTTGGAAGGACTTTCACACTGCTCCGGAATGCTTTCTGTGTCCCCTGTGTCCTACCCATCACTGCATTCTGTGGCCTTTTCTTGCCAGGCTTACATCCATGCACCTACCTCTAGTCTCATCACTCTTGCTTCAGCCCTGCCCCGACTGACCTGGCCTCAGAACTCCTGCAGCACCTTCCTCAGGCGTCTCCGTGCTTCCTGTCACTCTCCAAGCCAACCCTTCTCAAAGCTAGAGGTTGCAAAATTAATCTTTAGCTACAGATCTGGTGTCATTTCACCGGAAACCTCCCCTGATTCCCTACTGCCTACTGGGTTAAGTACAGGTCCTTTTCTTGTCCTTAAAAGGCCTCTAGGATACGCACTCTACCTCACCGTGTTTTGGGCTGGCCCTGGGCCCCCCCACCCCCAATTCTGTTTGCAGCCCAATGTGCCAGGCTTTCCCACGTTTTTCACCAAATCCTGCTGACTACATCCTGCTCCCCATTCTGCCTTTAACATGACTCTCTCCCTACAGCACTTCCTCATTTGCTGTCTCTTTTTTAAATTTTCTTTCCAACTACGCATGTACCTCTCCTATAGAATGTACTATGTATTCCATTGTACTATGTATATTCATTATTTGTGTTCTTGATTTTATTAGACTGAATCAAATGAAATTGCCTATATTTACCTGGTTTTGACATTCAGAAATGGTGATATCAAGGGGTCCAACATAAGGTTTACATTAGAAAATTGGGCCTTTGCAGAAACTCACAGGGTCTGTCCATCTTTGCAGTCCTTGCTGGGCATATCTAACCATAGTGCCCTGCACAGAGCAGGCGCTCTGAAATGCTGCTATTGCGTTCACGTGGATGTTAGTGAATGGTTTTTAACGCTCCTTGCATTTATTTTGGCTTTTGAATATCGAGCTTTGGAAAGATTTAGCCTCAGGAATCAGTGAAGACTTTGTTTTGCAGAATAACTGTATTTCAGAAGAAGAAAGAGATGCGTATGAAGAACTGCTGACACAAGCAGAAATCCAAGGCAATATCAATAAAGTCAACAGTAAGTAATGGATTCTACGAAGGAAATGGATACTTCTATAAGATATGAATATTCCTTGTCAGAGTCTCAGCAAAACTCTCAATTTGTACCCTTGTAAACCTGCCCTTGCATGATGAATAATCCGCTAAATGTCAATGTTGCTCTTAATTAAGGTGTATCATCTGACAGTTTCCTATGGAGCATTTTTTGTGATCTTGTCCCCAGTCCATGCAGAGTGGCTCAAGGTGTTTCCTCGTAGGTACAGTGTATGTCATATTCTGAACCTTTCCCTGATGGGTATAATACTGGAGGTTATTTAGTAAAATAGTATGACTTAAAGACTCTCATTCCTTGCCCATGATTATGTGATGGCATTCGATTGGATCTATAAAAGGTATTATTAACAGCTCTACTCTTTATTACTTCCCAGTTATTAGTCTACAGTTTGTAAGAATTCTTTTCTTACATCTTGTGTAGCTTTTATGCAAGTGAGTGAACTTGACAGACCAATGAAATTGCATAGTGACAGGCTTACAGCCATGTCCCTGAGACTCTGTGGAGTTGTACAGTTCGTTCTTGTTACTTGGTTCAGCTGTATGACCAGAAAACATGGGTAATTAAAATAAGCATATGCAAGTTTAGATACATTAATCTCTTTATTAGTCTTTCCCCCTTCGAATAAAATTTACTTTTACTTGAACCAGTAAGGAATTGTATTTGATATTTATTTCCCGTAGGTTAACCTAAATAATCCATATATATTACAAAATGAATACATGAAAGACCATTTCGCCCATTTAGTAAATCATGTGAAATGTCTGCCAAACCTAAATGTGGAGTATTTCCTAATCACAACAGTCCTAAACCTTTTCCTTGATTTAACATCCTCTATGAGCTTTGGAGGTTCTTTATCGCTCTTAACACCTTCAAAACAATGCAGACCTACCTGTAGGTGTAACCCAGACATTTGCTCCTAAGTTGCTGGTAGAGACTTCAAACAGTAATTAAAGAGGCCCAGAGAACCCTGATGTAAATATGTAGGAGTTAACAACTGAGTAGGTTTGAGAAGTTATCTCACACGTACACTGCTAAGAGCTCTAGGGTAACATTTTTTTAAGGGAATATCTTAACCTTGTGGGATGTGTATTTCTATTCTTTTATTCTTATTAAATATTGAGCATGTTGGTGATGATACATGAAGCACAATTTTAGGTTTCTTTCTGCTCTGTTTAAAAGCTGACAATTTCATTATGCTTGACATAAATGAATTGCAGGAAGAAATTAATATTGCCAGTAAGACATCTGAGGTCCATAAGCTTAGTTCCCATAGCCGTTTGCCATCCTTTATTTTGAAATGTTTATATCCACTAACATTGATTTATTTTTCATGTTAAATAAAATGCCTTATGTAAATGTTTTAATACTTTACTCCATGACAAATTTATACTTATTTTCCCCATTTTTAAATAAAAAGCCTGAGCTGATTTATACTGATATGATTTATAACCAGCTGAAATTATGAAGGGCATTGCAATGTTTGGTGGTTTTAAAGGTGCAGAACAGGATTATTCTGAAGTTTTTTATCTCTTCCCATCTGAAAATGTATAGTCCAGTAGAACTAAACGTAATCTTGGAAAAAAAACTCAAAAGCATGTTTTAGTCCGTGACATGACAATGAGACAATTGTATGCTTTAAAATATGTACGTTTACAGCTACTTGACAAGCTTTTCCCCAACCATTGAGGTTATGATATTAAAATGTTAAGGTGGTCCACATTCGTAGCAGCCATAGTTATGGCATAAGTGACCGCTTTGACGGTAATGCCACCAGCTCTGTCGTCAGCTTTGTTTGAACTGCAATTATTTAACTTTTGGGTTTGGCATTCCATTCATTACATGACCTATTTTGTTAAGGTCGGGGCTGGAAATTTTGTTAAATGCACCATGTAAAAGAGTGGTTAAGCTTACTTTATTTTCTTTTTAGAAGTACTGATGCATTAAGAGTGCTTTAAGGGTGTAATTTTTCCGGTAAATATTTTACCCTCCAGTTGTGTAAATTCATCTAATAGAGTTTTCAAAGGTGATGCAGGATCCCATCCAAAGTAATCAGAGACACAGTGGAAAGGTCTCAGATAACTTTAACGGAACAGCAGACATCACAACCAACCCCTGACCTTCCTTTCTGGAATTCTTTCACTTGTCATATTAATTCTAAGAATAGAAACAAGTGTTTGGGTTCTTAGGATCCTTTAGAATAAGTGTATGTTTTCTGGGATTGTGGCATGAAAGATTGCATTCGTTGTATTTCCTGCTTTTGAATGATGTCTCTTAGTTGAAAGGTTATTAAGGGTAGCTCCTTGAAAATTTAGTTAGAGAAGATAAATGGTTATCTGTTGGAAAGGGTTAAAATAATCTTAGTTGTATATTAGGGAAACAGACGAACCCTTGAAAAGCTCTAGAAATGTATGGGGTCTGTGTTTTTTCTACTACCCTGACGTCTTCTTTACGGGGCAAAATCCTGCCTGTTCTGTCTGCTCTGCTGTTGCCTGGTGGCTGAGTTCACTACTCATCCTTCCATTTGGTCAGCAATTCCTTTCTGTTTTCTGAAAATAACGCTGAGTCTACTGTTTCAAGCACCCTCAGTTTGGTCACTAAAATTCAGGTCTTGTAATCTGAACATTGCAGCTGGTAGAGACATCACAGAACTTACAATTCAGGCAGCTCATGTCCGCCAAGGCATTTCTGTGACCAGGGCCTTTTTATTTAGATTAACTGATACTAGCATAGACTTATTCAATCATATGGATTTTTATTGTAATATTTAAAAAAAAATACCTGAACTATTTTTTCTTAAGAATCACAATTCAGCTTGGCCAGAGTGGCTCATCTGGTTGAGTGTCATTCTGTGCACCGAAAGGTTGTTGGTTCGATTCCTGGTCAGGGCACATTCCTGGGTTACCGGTTGAGGCATTTGCAGAAGGCAACTGACCAATGATTGATTCATTCATTCATATTCTCTCTCTCTCTCTCTCTTTTTCTCTCTCTCCCTTACCCGATGATATTTTTTCCCAATTTTCAAAGAGAGTGGAAAGGAGTGGGCGGGGAGAGAGAGAAAAACTTCGATGTG